TGAGATGCATTTGATATATTTCCCCAAATATTGTTGTTAGAGAGTGTATATTACGGCTGCGGAGGACAAAAATAACAAATCGGATGAACAATATATATGGGAGTTATAGCTATATCTTAACCGATTTCGATCAAATTGGGCATACTTATTTTCAGGCCTAATTTGGTTGTATGTGCAAAATTCCATACTATTCGGGCTGATATTACACGTTTGGTGCACAATAAAAGGTAAATCGGACGAAGATATATATGGGAGCTATATTTAATTTTTTTTACCGATTATCTCCAATTTCAATAGGGTTCGTCCTTGGGCCAAACAGATGTTGCTTGGAAAATTTCATCTCAATCGGATAATAAATGCGACCTGCATTTTGTTCACAAGAATACATGGACAGACGGACGGACTGACATGCATAAATCAACTCAGAAAGTGATTCTATGGAGATCCTCAAAGTAACTATGGGTCTATCTCGCTTCCTTCTCCATGTTACAAACAAATGCACAAAGACATAATACCCTTACCACTATGTGGTGTAGGGCATAAACAGTAAATAAAGGTTCGAAGTCGGACACCAATTTATAAATTTAGTAGAGCTGTCCATAACAAACAAACGTTTTACGGGAAATTGATGATCGTTTTGAATGCGTATTAGGGCTTGAAAGCAGATATAATTTAAAGCCGAAAGGAACGATGTATCTGATGCCCAAATATCCAAATATCGTTGTTATGGATAGCATTTTACGGGTGTGAGAGACTTAAATACAAAATCATATGAAGCTTACATATGGGGACTATAGCTATATCTAAACCGATTTTCACCAAATTTGTTACACCTTCTCCCAGGCCAAATTAGTCCGTATGTGCCAAGATCCATTCAACTCGGGCTTATATCAATCATTTGGGGACAATAGTTAAATAAATGCCTTTGTGGACAATTATCTGTAAGATGGTTCTCTGGCCCAGAGTAGCCGAAATAAACTTTTTTAGCCAAATCAATTCATGAATGTAGTCAAGAACAAGATGGACCCTACTCCAAAAATTGAAAATTTTATGAGAAGAGGTTTTCTACCCCCCCTTACAAACAGAGATGCAAAATAAGGCAAATAAGAAGAAAAAAAGTGCCTAAGAATCGGAAAATAGCCCATCATATAGCAAATCATATGATTCTGATACCAAAACGTGGTAATTTTTTTCAAGGATTGTTTCTTCTCAAATTACTAACATTTACCGAAATTAGTTGGAAAAACAATATGGTTCAAATGTAAAATATACTTTTCATCGGGTTGTTCCTTATACGAGGGTTATGACCCATACCATGACATGCAAGAGCGATTTAAGGTATCTTGAAAGTTTAGGAAGGATTTCTGGAAGGATATAAATCCTTTTCTTAATAAATGTCCTATTTTCGCAACCTTTACATTCGGCATTTCACTGATTGCAGTCCCAATGAATTTTGTATTTTAAGTTCTCATTGGACGGATTATTGTCCTGTGAAAGAAGTAGGTCCACGTGAAATGATGAAAGATATTATTCGTATAGTTCCACTTAACCGATAAATAAATACATAAAATCTATAAATAATAGTTTTGTCCGTTAGCGCTTTGTACTACCCTAAAAAGACTACACACTATACTAGAATTCAAAAAGAAACCAGCAAGGAAAGCTCTAAAGTCCGGCGGAGCCGACTATATGATACCCTACACCACTATGCATATTTAGTAGAGCTCTCGCGAAAGAAAGGTTTATATTGGGCATTTCTGAGCTCACTGAGATATCTGGTACAAAATATGATTATGGTAGAGTGCATATTCCGAAAGTTGGAGATTTAAATACCAAATCGGATGAAACATATATATGGGAGCTAAAGCTACATCTTAAGCGATTTTCACCAAATTTTAAGTATTGACTTCTTGTATGAATTCGCTTGGAAGTGCAGCATTTCACTCACTTTGGACTGAAATTAGACATTTGGTGCACAAGAAACCTAATATCGGACAAAGATATTTGGGGGAGATATATCCAAATCTGAACCGATCATGATAAAATGGGGTGTATATAACGAATGTGAGGGTCTTAAACACCAAATCGGATGAAACATAAATATGGGAGCTATAGCTATATCTGAACCGATTTCCACCAAATTTAAAGTACTTATTTCTATATTAAATTCGGTCGGAAGTGCCAAAATTCACACCATTTGGACTGATATTAGCCATTTGTTGCAAAAGAAACTTAAAATCGGATGAAGCTAAATCCAAATCTGAACTGAACTTGATAAAATTTGATCTATGAATTGCTAGGTTGTATCTGATATCTGGTGCTAAATATCTGTCTTGTGGAGTGTATATAACGAATGTAAAGGACTTAAACGCCAAAATCTAATGAAACACATATATATGGGAGCTATAGCTATATCTGAACCACATTTGAATCACATGCTTGTAGGCTGAATTCGGTCGGATGTAGCGAAATTCACACCATTTGGACTGATATTAGCCATTTGGTGCACAAGAAACCTAAAATCGGATGAAGATATATATGGGAGCTATATCTAAATTTGGACCGATTTTCACCAATTTCAAAAGGGTTCGTCCTTGAGCCAAACCAAAGCTATTTAGAAAATTTCATCTCAATCGAATAATAAATGCCACCTGTATTTTGTTTACGAGAATACATGGACAGACGGATGGACGAACATACAGATGGACACTATGTGGTGTAGGGTATAAAAACACAACAAATGTACATTCGGAAATAGTAAGTCAAAATCGAAAAAAAAAAATCATCTATATATATAAAAATCAATTGTTGTTCGTTGTACAAACGTTAGTCATACCCCGAGTTAGGCTTTTAATGAAAAAATATTGACCACGCCTTCTTTTACGCCCACTATTTCGATTTATCTAAAATCCTTATATTTGCCAAAATAATGAAGATATCGGTTTGAAAATTATTACACGAGATACTGTTCACTTTCCCTCCAATGCTAAGTATTCTAAAATCCTTATATTTGCCAAAATCATGAAGATATCTGTTCCACAGTTAGCATACGACGTAATCTTGATTCTCCTTCCAACCCTAGGTATCTGTTTGGTGTCAGAGGAACTGGCTACACCTACTTCTTTAAATTTATATGTAAAAAATTTGAAAAAGTATAGTAACACATCAATTGAGGACGGCTGGGAATATTTGACACAAATTTTCTTTTGGTTATTTGTAATTAAAGTGGAAACCTTGTCATGAAAGAACATTTTGAGAAAAATCGCGGGACTGAAAAAATTGACTGTTCCATTATGATATGGAATTTTGTGTAGAATTGTTTCGGAATGCCTTTTGGAATTGAAGTTCTTATTGAAAAAATCGAGAAAGTTTGCATATTTTCTATACATGTTGTTATATGGTTGCCATACCCAAATTTTCGATTTTGATTAGATATGGAAATAATCCATCCCATGAGAATTGAATATGCAAAATTCATTGGGACTTCAATCAGTGAAATATGAAGAAGCACTGTAATATGCGGACTATACTAAATAGTGGAGTGAATTGAAAATATAGTATGAAAAGGATTCATATGCTCGGAATATTATTCCGAACCCTTAAAAGTAACCTTAAATCGTAGGTAACGATATACGGGCACTATGCGCTATCGTCAGTAATTACACTGCGCCGCAGACAATCTTGGGGTTAGGAATTTTTTTTGGTTGGTAAATAAAAATCCCAAAAGAGGGGTTCCCGGACCTAACTTTTTTTTATTGTCCATTTTATATAGCTTAACCATACACAAAGGGCCGCAAATATTTTGCCCTATACTCCGCAAAAGTTACGATAATGTTTTAACTGTGATACAGTCCTATGGGTAACATGAGGAATCATTTGTACAAAATATGTATCAGGTTGGTCTACATTGTGGTATAGCGCCCCTCAAATGACATAGCCCCTTTAAAATTCCTAAAATGTGGGTATAAAATAAAAACAAATTCTTTCAAATAATTATAAGTATAGGACCATGCTTCATTATAACTCTTATGTGAAGGTGTCCGGTGATTTTAGCTATTAGCATTTTCAATTGATTTTGCCCTTATTTGGCAACTAGCTTCTGGTAGAAGACCTCTTTGCGGAAATTTTTCAATATCATTTTTTCGGAGTAACGCTCATATAAAAGTACCTCCTGATTGTACCTATTTCGAGGTTTTGATAAAATTTTCGAATCGATTTGACTTAAAATGTGTTTTTAGGCTACTTTGGGAGTACAGAATCATCTTACATGGGCCTATTATTAACCGTTAATGTATACTTTTAATATATATGCTACATTATTTAGGTTTTTAACTCACAAACTAAAAGCTCTTGTGCGGACTGGGCCAGCTAGTTCAATATAAAACATTACGATTGTACATTTCAAAAGTCAAAGGATTTTTTTTTTTTGGGATTTTATCCTTCTCGGCCAAGAGACAATTCCGAATTCGCCTGAATCGTTAAAATCAGATCAAGCTGTATTCAATTTTTGGTATGTTTGGTTATTTTAATATGATTCTCAAACCATGTTGGTATTTTGAGATTGTTATCAGTAATATCGCTATATATCTACAATGTAAAGTCCGCAAGGAATCCCAATCCGAAATTTTTCAAAAATCCTGGAAGAGGATGACGGCCCACTCTCTATTCAGATTATTTTGCGATGTAAACATTCAAAAGACAACTTTTAGCTCTATTCTCGTAATCTGCAGATTCTTCCCTTTGACTATCTTTTGTGTTGCACCGTTTAATTGGTAAACTCTCAGAGACACATACAATGGAATACTGAGTGAATGACATTCCATTTAAGCATCCCTGTGCCTGGCACGAATGCAGACTCATCCTAATAAGCCGATTTACATTCAAATAATTGGCATATTTTTGTTGCATAAATCTTATTTATTGGATATCTGCATAATCTTTATTATCACAAAAATTTAACATAATTTTTATTTTCTGTTTATTTTCAATATCTTTTGCAGGAGACACGTTTCAAACGGTAGCATGTCATGCATTTTTATTCAATAACCGAAGTAACCATTTGCTGTTCAGAAGAGAAAGAGGAAAAGAAAAGATATTCGCTACTGCTGCGATACCCAGAGGAATACAGAGCACACCCATGTTCGACGTCTGTCGGAATTATAAAATAGTTCGTAATGATGGTAAAATTTTTGTGAGTGGTTGGCGAAATAGAGATAAACAAGCCAGGTAAACTGAACGGCAATCAAGGACGTCGGAGGAAGAGTAATATTAACTTCTAACCAAAGAGGTGGAAGGAAACCGAAAAGATACCTGCCATTTGCCGTCAAGCGATAACAAATAAGCCTCAATGCACGCGAACATGACATCTGACAAAAGCGGTGGCGGATCCTGGCGTCTGCCACCCGATGAAACGCTTCAGATACAAGATCCGAAGCAAAAAGATCAAGACTTAGACCTGGACGAGGGTCACAATTGGCGATCGATAATATTTTCGCTGTTAGTGATAAGTTTTGTTATAGCCGGCATTATAACAGCCATATATTTATTAGGGTAAGTCAGTGGCAATTGCCGAGGTGAATGTTCCATCCTAATCCTGATGTCACTTCTTTTCGCACAGTTATGTAGATGAATTACTTTATTGGTCGGGACGACGCATGATACTTGACGAGTATCTGCAGGGAGACTTGACACCCACTCGCCTGCAGCCCTCTTGGGTCACCTCCAAGAAATATGTTTTCCAATCGGACGATGGCGGCCTCTCGGTATTGGACACTGCCACCAACAAGGTCAGTACTTTGGCAACTAACCACACCCTCAGACAACTGAATGTCCAGGGCTATGAATGCTCGAACGATCTGCGATATGTACTATTCAGACATAATGTTAAGAAGGTAAATGCCCCGACCTCCAATCTGGCGACTGGTTGTGCCACTCATATTTGTTGTTGTTTTTATTGTAGATTTTCAAAAAATCATTTAATGAATTTTATACCATATACGATGTTGATAACGATCATCACATGCCTGTGAAATTAAAAGACTCACCCAAAGTCCAGAGGACACGCCTACAATACGCAACCTGGCTGGGGAACACCACCTCACTGATAATAGTTGCCGACAATGACATTTACATAAGACAATCACCGTCCGACGAGGAGGATGTCCGCATCACTTTCAATGGCTATCAGAATCTCTTTTATAACGGTGTTCCCGACTGGCTGTATCAGGGTAAGTGTCATCGGAGCACTGTTCCAAAACTTAAAGAAAGAAAAAAAAAAAAAAAACTCTAACGCGAGTATTGTCTGTTCCCGTGCAGAGGAGATATTCAATGAACCCCAGGCGATTTGGCCATCCCAGGACGGAACATTTTTCATGTATGCCTCCTTCAACGACACCAATGTCGGCATGATGACGTATCCTTGGCTAGCCTCGGGTGCTGTCATAACTGGCAGTGGTGTTTCTGCGGGAAGTTCATTTCCTGAAACGAAAAATGTGCGTTATCCAACACCGGGCACCACAAATCCCGAGGTCAAGCTGTGGATAGTGAACATAACGAATATAACGGAAATCCAACATATTGAACTGAAGCCACCTCCCTCGCTGGACGAACAGTAAGTATCAGTATTTTAATGGAACACGTTTGAAAATGTGATAAAAAAAAAGTTTCCCTCCTTTACCTATATTTTGAGAAATATAATGCCATGTTGTCATTGGCAACATTCAAATCACGAATTAACACGATCCTACGTCACGATTCATAGTTCCTTCATTCATTCCTCATTGCATTCTTGATTTTTACGAAAATTTGAGCAAAATTTCATGAAATACGCATTGAAATAGCAAATCGCTTATATCAATTTCATAATACGAAGTTCAAATTTGCTCTGCAACTGACAACGAATTCGGGTGGAGAATGTCTTCAAAATATCACATAGTGGGCGGCACTGTGAAACAATTGTGTGGAAAAAAGTGCCTAAAGACAAAATACCGAATATCGGGAGGTACCGTTACATGGTGGCTGTAGGAAATTGTGAACATATTTAGACTTTAGTCTACCACAAGAGCTATTTTCTCATCACCACCCGGTCCGTGATACCTTAAAAGAGGTCGCATTGTTGAAGATACTTCTTCGAACTACGTGTACATTATTCTTAGGGTGATTAATATTGAATAAGGTATATGGGATCCTTTTTATACCCCACGCCATATAGTGGTAAGGGTATTATGTCTTTGTGCATTTGTTTGTAACATATTGAAGGAAGCAAGATAGGCTCATTGTCAAGATCGGTTCGGATTTGGATATAGTTCCCATACATATCTTTAACCGATTTCGGGTTAATTGTGGCCACTATAAGTCCAAATAACATGAATTTGGGCACATCCGACCGAATTTAGTCTAGAAGCAAGTACATCGAAATCGGTTCAGATGTAGCTATAGCTCCCATATCTATGCTTCATCCAATTTTGTATTTAAGTCACTCACATTCGTGATATGCATTCGACAAAAATTATTTTTGGTACCAGACATCTTATAGAGCTTGGAAATACCTGTTCGGTATTTAGATTTGGATATAGCTTTCATATATATATTCAACCGATTACGAGTTAATTTTGTACCATTTAGGGTTAATTGTGCACCAAATGGCCAATATCAGTCCAAAAGTCTTGAATTTTGGTATAGCCTTAGCTTCCATAAATAGGTTTCCTCCTATTTGGTGTTTAAGTCCCCCACATTCGTAATATGCATTCGACAAAAATGATATTTGGTACCAGATATCAGATACAACCCAGAAATACCTCTGAAAATTGTTATCAAGATCGGTTCAGATTTGAAATGGCTCTTATATATTTCATTAATCCGATTTCATATCTATTGTGCAAATAATGTCTAATATCAGCCCAAATGGAGTGAATTTCGGGACTTATTTTGTGAAACTCGGCTCCGAGAGATATATATTTCGATATAATCCTTCTCGAAGTGATATCATGCACTCTATAGCAATGTTTATACCCTACACCACAAGGTGGTCAGGGTATTATGTCTTTGTGCATTTGTTTGTAACAGGCAGAAGGAAACGAGATAGACCCATAGTTCCTTTTGATGATCTGCATAGAATCACATTCTGAGTCGATTTATGCATGTCCGTCCGTCCGTCTGTCCGTCCGTCTGTCCGTCCGTCCGTCCGTCCGTCTGTCCATGTATTTTTGTAAACAAAGTACAGGTCGTATTTATTGCCCGATCCAGATGAAATTTTGCACAGATCATTTGTTTGGCCCAAGGACGAACCCTATTGAAATTGGAGATAATCGGTCAAAATTTAGATATAGCTCCCATATATATTTTCGTCCGATTTGCCTTTTATTGTGCACCAAACGTGTAATATCAGCCCGAATTTTTTGGAATTTTGCATATACACCCAAATTAGGCCTGAAAATATGTATGCCAAATTTGATCGAAATCGGTTCAGATAAAGCTATAGCTCCCATATATATTGTTCATCCGATTTGCTATTTTTGTCCACCGCCGCCGTAATATGCACTCTTCAACAACAATATTTGGGGAAATATATCAAATACAGCTCAGAAATACATTTGCTAAATTTTATCGAGATCGGTTCAGATTTGGATATAGCTCCCATATATAACTTCGTCCGATTTACTTTTTATTGTGCACCAAACGTCTAATATTTGTCCAAATGGGATGGAATTTGGCACTTACGACCGAATTGAGTCTAGAAGCTAGTATGCCAAATTTGATGGAAATCGGTTCAGATATAGCTATAGCTCCCATATATATTGTTCATCCGATTTGTTATTTTTGTCCACTGCCGCCGTAATATGCACTCCGTAACAACGATATTCAGGGAAATATATCAAATACAGCTCAGAAATATCTTTCCCAAATTTTATCGAGATCGGTTCAGATTTGGATATAGCTCCCATATATATCTTTATCCAAATGGCAGTACAATTCCGAATTTAAAAGATACATATGCTTCGGCATATTTAGTCTTTTGAACTTTAAGTTATAATTATAATCATAGTGTGTATGATTGAATTCTCCCATAAAAACTTTTAATTGTTATGTGTAGCTCTACTAAATTAGCAAAGTGGTGTAGGGTATCATAAAGTCGGCCCCGCCCGACTTTAAGACTTTCTTTACTGGTTTTTGGTATAAAATTTAGAGAAAATCGATTCAGAATTGCATATGCCTCCCACATATTATTTTTAGTCTGAAACCAAACTATAACTGTCCTAAAGCCAAATGTTGATAAGTGGTATTATCTACTTTGGTGTAGGGTATCATATAGTCGGCCCCGCCCGACTTTTGACTTTTCCTTACTTTAAATACCGAATACCGGTTCCTGTATCGTTTAAACTATTTTAATGCTTTAGGAGGCGTTTTTCAATAAAATTAGTATTTCAACGTTTCAGGATCTCAGAGGAAATTAAAACACTACTTAATATGAATTGATACGCGGTAATTCAGTGATTCCAATTTCCGACCAGATGTTGGGTTCTTATCGTGGTACAATAAGGAGGTAGAACAGATTAGCAAAAACTACAAAGATTCAATCATACAGCTTTGTCCGCTTTCATTCAAACCAATTTACGGAGACAAATGTCAACTTTTGTTTCTTTGTCTCTTTGGGACAAATCCGTTTCAGGACATTTGGAGTCAATCTAGCGATGTCCGTCCGTCCACACGATAACTCTCGAAGGGAATATCCGATTTGGTCCAAAGTTGTTATATCTTAATATTACTATCAAACAACAAAAGGCCGAAAATTTCAAAAAAAAAATATACATATATATATATATATATATATATATATATATATATATATATATATATATATATAAGCATATATATTCATAATCAGCATAAAATTCGATTTGTCCGTCTGTATGTCTGTTTGTTTAAATTACGATACAGCCCACATTATTTGACGTATAGCGTCAAAATTTAGCCGAAAAATTTGTATTGTGTATAGGATGGTTGGTATTGAAAATGATCTATCGGTTCACGTTTTGGTATAGTCTCCATATCCTCCTCCTCGGATTTGTCTAACACATATAACGATACCTACCGATATTGGGTATGTTGATAATCCTAGTCACATTTACGCACATATTTGTATTAAATTTGGTATTTTAGAAGGTTTCATAGATCACAATCCTTGAAGTATAAAACTGTCAACAGAGGTTCCCCTTTTGGTATGGCCCTATATAACGGCCTCATTCAAACAGTCTTACTGGTATATGAAGTTTAAAGTGAAACACGCTTGAATTCATATACTTTTATATCAAAAAGTTTCTTTTACCCTAAGGTGGATGATAATAATAGTTTTGCCCGGCCGAACTTATTGTTTTACTTGTTTTTAAAGTAATAAGTAGTATTTGTCATTGAAATTGCGCGTTGGAGACCCCATAATGTCCATATCTTTTATCATAGTATAATTCAAAGACGATTAAACAAATGTCCGGTTCCTTAAATCATATGATGGTTATACAAACCGTGATCAGTTTTTGCATAGATGGTTTCTTCCCAAATTACCAACATTTGCCGAAATTAGTATGAAAATATGGTTAAAATGTAAGATATACTTGAAATCGGGTTGTATCCTTATCCGGGGGTTATGGCCCATTATTGTCATGTGAGAGAAGTAGGTAGGTCCACGTGTTGAAATGAGCCCCATAACGTTTTGTCGGTTATTTTTGCTTATTTAAATGTGTTCGCATCTTCCAGCTAAAGCACGATGTAGATCCTGGAGTTGAAAGCTAAATGCCAATTTCAGACATGAAAGATCGCTATTTAACATCGTATTGGGTACTTTTTCATTTTTGATATTATTCATTCAGAATTCAAAACAATAAAAAATGTACACTTCTATATAGTTTTTAAATTGAAAACATTTCACGCCAAAAGGATTTCTTCTTTTATATTTTTATTGGCATATTTAACGCAATTTTTTTGCAAGATTCCATTCCGAAGTTGTATAAATTTTGAAAATCCGTCAAAACGTTCTTGAGTTATTAGCATTGTAACTAATAAACAACTTGAAAAAAAAATTAGCTTGTTCGCTGGTTTTTTACAGCCAATATTTAAAGGTCCTTACGAAGTTTGGTCCTTACTATTATTTTGAAATTTGATTCCATTGAAAAAATGTTCTCAGTTTTTCCCTATTTAAGAGTTTTTGCAGTGCAATATGCTCTTTTATGATTTTTTAGCAATTTTGGTTTGACCACGTTAAATTATTTTGACATAATCTATTCAGTTCCGCCACTCCATAATTTTCGTCGCTTTCTACTACCCAAAAAGACTACACATCATATTAGAATTCAAAAAAAAAAAAAAAAAACACTACAAATGTACATTCCGAAATAGTAAGTCTAAATGGAAAAGAAGTCATGCAAAATAAAACATTACTATTGTATACTTCAGAAGTCAAAATTAAAATTTTAAAATTTCACATTTTTACGCGATTTTTTTGGATTTTATCCTTTTCTGCCAAGAGACAATTCCGAATTTGTGTAAATCGTTAAAATCAGATCAGCGGTTCTTGAGTTATAAGCGTAGTAACTAACACAACTTCCTTATATATATATA